CTAATGATACTACTGTTGATGATATGAATCCTGCAATACCTTAAGGACCCTGAACTATGGGAATTATCGTATATTCCTTACTATGGGTAATGCAGGATCTATATCATCAAGCGTTCCATATCCCCGGATCTCCCCCCAAAGCCTTTCTTTCTGCATATTAGGACCAGACTGCAGGTCCAAAGCCCGCACGCCGCCGACTCTCCAAATATTTTAAAGATCGGGGTTTAGGGTTTAGGGTTTAGGGTCTAGGGAGTTCTTTCAAGTGCAGGAAGAACAAAGGATCAAGAACATGTAAACCTGACCGAGACCCTAAACCCTAAACCCTCAACCTCGAACCCCAAACCCTAAGCGGTAAGCCCTAAGCCTTAAATTCAATGACCGCTGAACCCCAAACCCCAAACCCTAAGCCCTAAGCCCTAAATTCAAGGACCGCAACCACCGAGCATGACCCCAAAGCACCGAAAATTCGAAGCCCGAGTCCCGGCCAAGCCAGGCCCAAGCAGCTCAACGCAAGAAGGGGCTCCCTGCCGAGGAAGTCCTATGAAGAATGATTTCGGGTTTCGGGTATAGGGTTTAGGATTTAAGGTTTGGGGTATAGGATTTTAGGGTTTTGAGTATAGGGTTTAGGGTACAGGGCTTCAGGGTTTTGGGGTTTCGGGTATAGGGTTTAGGGTTGAGGCTATTGGGTTTAGGGTTGGTCTTTTCAAGAGTTTAGGGTCCAGGGCTTCATGTTGGTTTTTGAACTAGGACCTCTACTATTCCGAAGGTTCCCTCATCTAATTCTAGAGCAATAGTTTCACCTGTACTGGGGTTATAAAGCTTAAGCGGACAGGGTTAAGCATCACATCCTTCTAGCGACTACAGCTACTCTTGCCTGTGAGGGGCAGCTGCAGGTTGGTGCTTTGGAAGGTGTTCAGCGCAGTGGTCCTGGCACCAGCTGACTGTCGTGCTCTCGCGAAGTTCGTAGATGGTGCTCCGGCTAGAACTCGAAAGCGGCCATCCAAGGGCTGACTCGGCCCCACCTGGTTCAAGACTTTAACAGCGTCGATGACAAGGAAGTCACCGCAACTTTTGTTTTTTCACAAGCTTTTCCCATTTGCGAGGCCAAGAATTGGTGGCTCAGATGGAGAAGGCTGTCCACGAGCTGGACGAAGCAGACGAGACTCAACTCGTGCAGTGGCAGAGGGGATCTCCTGTATGAACACGACCCTAAACCCTAAATGCTGAACCCTCAGACCCCAAAAACCCTAAACCCCAAAGCCTAAACTGCAAACTCCTAAACCCTAAACCCTAGTGCCAGCGCCACAAAAACAAGCCCGACGACCAGGAGCAGTTTTGACAATGCCAGGAAGCAGCTCACACATGCCCGGACATTGGATTTCCGGTTTAGGGTGTAGGGTTTACGTTAGTGCTCGTAGAAAGTGTGTGTTTTGAGACTTTTTCAGTGTAATAAAGCTCCAAGAAGGCATTATTAAAACCAATTTTTGCATACTACTAAACTTTACTTGGAGCATCAGGGGACTTCGTAATCAAGGTATTTAGTACCATTGCTTTAAGGATTTAGGGTTTAGTTGTTTAGGGGTTTAGGGCTTTAGGGCTTTAGGGCTTTAGGGTTTAGGGTTTAGGGTTTAGGACGTAGTTGTGAGAAACGAACCTCGGGGGGCTAGCACAACTCTAAACCCTAAAGCCCTAAACCCCTAAAGCCCTAAAGCCCTAAGCCCTAAGCCCTAAACACTAAACTCTAAACCCTAAAGCCCTAAACTCTAAACCCTAAACCCTAGAAGCCCTAAACCCTAACCCAACCCTTAAACCCTAAACCAAACCCTAAAGCCCTAAACTCTAAACCCTAAGCCCTAGAAGCCCTAAAGCCCCAAACCCTAAACCAAACTCCTTCCTGAATCCTCGAAGAAGCCGAACCAAGGCCGTCTCTAAGTGGTGGCAAGGACGAGGCGCAGCAATCGCTGATGCGCCTTGGCCGCAAGGGCGTAGGATTTCGGGTTTAGAAATTTGGGGGTTTAGGGTTTAGGAATTTTGAGATTTCGGGTTTGGGAATTTTAGGGGTTTAGGGGCTTAGGGTTGAGGGAAACCTGGAATTAGAATTGAAAGTACAGGCTGTAAGGTTTAGGGTGCTTCGGATTGTAAGTTTAGGAGTCAGAGTTTAGGGTTGCACTCCAGTTCAGGGTGTAGGGCTTAGACGATACCCTAAGCCCTAAACCCCGAAACCCTAAACCCTAGATAGGGACAAGACACCGAACCCAAACCCCAGAAGTTCAGGAGCTAAAGTTTCTGGATGTTCTGCCAATTTGTTTCATGTGCTCACGGAGACTCCAGGGCCTTTGCAGCCAGTTTTTTTTGTAGTTTAGGGCGTAAGGTTTAGGGTTTAAGGGTTTACTTTAACGGTAGGCCCTAAACCCTAAACCCTATAAGCCCTGAACCGTTTTAAACCCGAGACCCAGTTTGGGGGTTAGGTCTCCAGGGTCGGCTGGTAGTTTCACTTGGAGGATCGGGGAACTTGCTAAGTAAGCGTAGAAGTACCTGAGTTGGGCTTGTAAGTACCTATAAATATACTGACCTTCTTTACAGCCCCATTTGCACAGTCCCAGGATCCGTTCAGCCCAGAACCCTGATATAAATCCCTTACTGAACCCCTTTAAAGAACCCTGTTAAGGAACTCTTTAGTATTTCCTGCGCCCCATGACCCATTAAGTAGGGTTAACCTTTTTTTCGTGCCTGGAGTCCTTTCTGCTAAGCCCATCCTTTCCGCTGTCGCAGGCGCGAGAAGAAGCGGATCTTGGACATGAAGGATGACGAGGGAGTGCCGCTGAGACTGCAGCTTTTACTGGATTTTCGCCAGTGATTTAGGCTTAGCAAACCCTAAACCCTAAACCCTAAACCTCTTACCCTTTAGGGCTGTAGGGTTTTTCAGGGCCTGTGGGACTTGCAGGGTGTTTTTTTTGGCTTTTGGTTAAGGCCTAGGGGGTGGACTCACGCCGCCGTCTAAGCTTGGGTCAACAAATGCCAGCCCCCTAAAACCGAGTAGGGTCACTTTCCTGACCGCTTAAAGTAGGTATTCGCCAAGGCACCGCGCTGACCATAGAAGCTAGAAAACGTCGCAGTATCACTCCTTGGGGTTGCAGAATATGACTGAATATGTGTTTACTAGCTCACTAGGTGTAATTGCCGTACCCATCCCAAACCCTACTGTAGTCATTAAGGTCCCTCTACTTTCACCGAAATCTTGAGTCCTTTTCACGAACCCTACATCCGCCTAGACTTAGACCATACCGCGAGGAGCACGGGTAATTTAGGTGTGGGAGATTGGCTGCAGTAACGTCAGCCTTTGTTCTTTTCCATGTGTTCATGTGATGAGCTTGAGTTCCTGGATCTACCAGCCCCTTAGCTTTTAGGCCCGGTGTTCAGCCCCGAACCACAAACCCTGAACCCTAAGCTCTAAACCCTAAGCCCTAAACCCTTAACCACGATTCCCCAAGTCCTCGCCAAGTCAGCTTTGCTTGCACAAGGACCGCCCTCATGAAAGCCGCCGAGCAGGGGGAGGGTGATGTGGTGCCTCCTGTGCTTGATCTCCGGGCTTCTCCACAAAGTCAGAATACACCCTAAACCCTAAACCCTGAACCCTAAACTAGGCCCTGGCCCCTAAACTTGGAACTTGGTCCAGTAGGCCTCAACAAAAGTAACCTTACTGCCAGGCCAGAAGACGGACCACTGTCCACAAAGACAGGCTATTGAGCCGTAGCGAAGCTTCCAACCTTGAACCACATTTAGGCTTCAGGGTTGGAGGTTCAGGAATTCAGAGTTTCCGGGAGAGAGGATACCTGTGTAGACTGAGTGAGGGGGTTTTGTATGTGGGGCGGCTGTAGGACTCGGTAGGACTGTCGACCCATTACCCATTACGGGGTGGGGGGAGGGACGGCTTATATATTTATATGTGTATACACACACATACATATATACTCACACACACGTGTATACATGCATGTATGTATATATATATATATATCTAATGAAATGAATGAATGGATGCATGGATGAATGAATGAATGAATGGATGAATGAATGAATGGAAAGGAATGGAATGGAATGGAATGGAATGAAATGAGTTGAAATGAAATGAAATGAATGGATGAGTGAATGAAATGCAGGGAATTGAAATGAAATGAAATGAATTGAATGAAATGAATGAATGAATGCATGGATGAATGAATGAATGGAATGGAATGGAATGAAATGAATGAAATGAATGAGATGAATGAAATGAACGAAATGAAGGAATGAATGAATGGATGAATGAATGAATGAATGAATGCTGGAATGGAGTGACATGGACATTGACATGGACATGGAAATGGAAATGGAATCGATCTGACTGGAATGAATGAATGAATGAATGAATGAATGAATGAATGAATGAATGAATACAATATGAATATATATATATAACACATATATAAAGATATATGTATATATATATAATATTGTCCCTTCTTATAGTGGTGTTGGGTTCCCTGAGCATGCCCACCCATGACCCCTCGAGCATGCTTAGGGTGCACAACGTTTCAGAATTTCAGCTTCTCGGGATTGGCTATGGCTGGGGAGTGCAGTCATAGGGACCCTCAGGGGGCTAGAGGGTCGGGGGCTATACTTCTACTAAAAATTAGGTTCTTTTTTCGGGTATGAAGCCCCCCTACCCCCCTCCCCCTTACCACTCTAAGGGTCCTTATGATCTAGGAGTCTGAAGAGATCCATAAGCTCCTGCAACATGAAGCGCTTGAATGTTGCCGGGGGGGGGGGGTTGTCAAGGTTCTTGAATGTTGACCGGGGGGGGGGTCAGGGTTTAGGGTTCCCTGAAGCCCCAAATCTCTCATTCCCCCAAAGCCGAGACCTGAAATCCCTGATACCCTAAACCCTGAACCCTAAACCCTAAACCCTAAACCCTGATCACTTGAGCCTGAACCCTAAACCCTGAACCCTTAAACTGCGAGGTGCAAATCCTCGCGGACGACGGGGCTTCCCTGGACCTGAAGGACGACGAAGGCGGACCTTGCGTTGTTTTTTCATTTAGGGCTTAGGGTTTCTATATAGAGGTCTCGGAAGAGGTAGTAGCAGTGTCCCCTTTTCATTTAGGGTTTAGGGTTTAGGATTTTTTATTATAGAGGTCGCTGAAGAGGTAGTAGCAGTGTCCCCTTTTCATTTAGTGTTTAGGGTTTAGGATTTTTCGTATAGAGGTCTCTGAAGAGGTAGTAGCAGTGTCCCCTTTTCATTTAAGGTTTAGGGTTTATAGAAGTCTCTGAAGAGGTAGTAGCAGTGTCCCCTTTTCATTTACGGTTTAGGGTTTATAGAGGTCTCTGAAGAGGTGGTAGCAGTGGCCCCCTGTGGCCCTCGCAAGAAACCATCATAATGCAGCGACATCCCCCCGAAGCCTTTTTGTGGGGTTCCGTTTTGGGTCCTTCCAGAAGTGTGCCGTACTATTTTGGGACCTAGAAATGGAGCAAATTAAGAGAACTGCCCTGACATGTAGTTGGGCAACCCATGAACCTCCAAGCAGAGCTGTCAGCCCAAGTCCCTCCGGGCGCCCATCCAAAAGCCCTAAACCTGTGCAAAGCTCCAAAAAGCTTCCTCAAGAGCCCAGCGAGCGTAGGATGGGATGTGCTGATGTGGGCGGCGCTGAGTGGCCACTTTGAGCGCCTCAGCTGCGCACCGAGAGATTGGGCTTCCATGCGTTAGGTTTCGGGGCGGGGATTTAGGGTTTAGGGTTTCGGGCTCAAGGGTTTAGGGATTTGGGGTAATAGCCCTGAAGAAGGAGCATCGTTTCAGTCGGGAGCCTTTCTAGGATGTGAGGTACTGTATGTTGCTTGATTTATAGGTATCGGGCTCTCTGGGTGTAGATTCTAAGCTCACCTTTGGGCGGCTGAGGCTGTCTGCTCGAATTATGTAGGCTTCCCCAAAAAGGACCATGATCTTGACAGTTTCCCCCCTGCAGCTTAAGAAAGTCCTTAATGAAGAGCTTTTGTGTTTTGCCAGGTGCCTCAGGTCTTTTTGCATGCACGACCCTTAAACCCTTAAACCTTAAAGCCCTAAATCCTTAAACCCCTAAGCCCTTAAACCCTTAAACTTAACTTTAAAGCCCCTAAACCCTTAATCCCTTAAATCATAGAGCCCTAAACCCTAAACCCACTGCCCTGAGCTCCTTATCGCATGCTAGGATTTGCGAGCTCCTGGTCGGCACCTTCCACATGTCGCCAGACTATGCCACCGAGAAAGGACCGAGCGAGAACGTCACAACCCCAAACCCCAACCCCTAAGCCCTAAACCCTTGAACCCTAAACCCCTAAACCCTTAACCCTAAACGCCCTAAACCCTTAAACCCTAAACCCTAATTGCAGAACCCTAGGAAAAGCTGCTCGATCCCTTCGCTACAACCTAGTTTCGGGCTTCAAACTGCCGAGTTTTCGAGCTTGGGCTATACGGAACCCTGGTAGTCTAGGGTTTAGGGTAGTTTAGGGTAGTTTAGGGTTTAAGGTAGTTTAGGGTAGTTTAGGGTTTAGGGTAGTTTAGGGTAGTTTAGGGTAGTTTAGGGTAGTTTAGGGTAGTTTAGGGTAGTTTAGGGTTTAGGGTAGTCTAGGGTTAGGTTTAGGGTGGTTTAGGGTTTAGGGGTGGTTTAGGGTTTAGGGTTTAGGGCTTCTGGTCTAGGGTATAGCGTTTACTCTTTGACTCCTCAACTTAAGTTGTTGGGTTCTGGGATATGTCTTTGTGTATACATGCTCCCTCTCTGTCCCTTTCTCTTCTTCTACCGGTACGTCGGTATACATATTTTATACACGTAGTCTCGGCTCTCCATAGAACTACGGATATACACAGAGTTCTACCTGTGTAGATATCTATCCCTCTATTGCTTAGGCTCACCTAACCCGCCCTCGATTCTCAATCCCGAGCCTTGCTTCTTTAAACCTTTGTGGGAGCACTTGCCCTAAACCCTCAGGGTAATGGAAGCCCAAAGCAGACGGTACAGTTCAAGCAGTAGTGTTTGGGGTTTAGAGTCTAGGGCAAGTGCAAAACCTCAAACCAATCTTTTCCGGACAGGAGAGACGGCGTTGATGAAGGCAGCGGCGAACGGCCATTGGGACGTGTGCGAGTTCCTGATTACGGAGGGGGCCAAGGCAACTCGAATCCTAAATGAAGGGCTTCAGGGGCTTCTCAACCCTAAGCCCTAAACTGCCCTAAACCCTTGAGTTTTCACAGGGGCTTCTTGTGTTGTTCTGCGATTTGTAAAGGGCGTTGGACAGGGTCCATTCTGCAGCTTTTTCAGGTCAAGAGTTCAAGACCTTCAGGGTTTATGGGGTTTAGGGTTTATAGGGTTTATAAGGTTTATAGTGTTTATAGGGCTTATGCGGTTTATGGGGGTTTACGGGGTTTATGGGGGTTTCAGGGGTTTCTAGGGTATGTCGGGTTTAGGGCTCCGAAAACTAAGCTGAGAAGGGCACTGAGCCCCTGGATCCTCAAGCCAAGACTCAGCAGGTGAACTGCTGGGTAGTATGAGGGAGACCCCTTAAAGGGGGACCCTTCTGAACCCTACTTCTGGCTCTCTTAAAAGGGACCTTATTGAGAGGGTCTATATCCCCAAGGGCCCCCTAATCCTAACTCCCATGAACCAGCTGGACTCAAAAAACCCCGAACCCAAGCATCCGAAACCCTAAAGCTTGGCCCTTAACCCGAAGCCCGAAACCCTAAACCCGAAACCCAAACACCCTAAACCCTAAACCCGAAACCCAAACACCCTAAACCCTAAACCTGAAACCCAACAGGCCTAAACCTGAAACCCTAAACCCTAAGCCCGGCAGCCTTAAATCCGACGCCCTAAACTCGAAGCCCGAAGCCCTAAAACTGACATCCTAAACCCGAAACCCCAAACCCCAATAAACCCCATAAGCCCTATAAGACTTATAAACTCTAAACCCTATAAACCCTATCAGCCCTACAAGCCCTATAGCGCTAAAGGTCTTGCTCTAGATCCTCAGCAGGTGAACCAGGTGAACGTTAAAGCTTAAATCCTAAACCCTAAACCCCAAAGCCTCAGCCAACAGCCCTAAACCTGAAAGCCTAAACCCCCTAAACCTTTAGACTCTCAGCAGCCCTAAGCCGAAAGCCCTAAACCCTGTAAACCCTAGCCCTGAACCTGACTGAAACACTAAACCCTAAACCCGAAATCCAAACAACCCTAAACCGTTAACCCGAAACCTGAAACCCTTTAAACCACCAAAGCCTCAGCAGGTGGGTAGTTCTCTAGAAGAGGGTACCTGTTCGAGTTTTTTTGAAAATAAGGGTGCCGTACTATATTGCGGACCCAAGAAGGGAACGTAATTTAGAGAACTACCCTGTTTTGTAACCTCCTTATAGAAGCCCTATAGAAACCCCCTTTAGATCCCTGTAAGGAACCCTAAAAAGGAGCCCTACAGAAACCCCCTATAGATCCCCAAAAAGGAACCCTAAAAAGGAACCCTATAGAAACCCCATAACCAGGTGAATCAGCTGGACCAGCACCATCAGACCGCCTTGATGTGGGCGGCCTCAGAGGGGCACTTGGCGACGGTCACCGGCCTGGCGAAGAAGGTGGGCCTGTGTTCTTTTTTAAGGTTTAGGGTTTAGGGTTTAGGGTTAACGGTTTAGGGTTTAGGGTTTAGGATTTTCGGGTTTTAGGGTTTGGGGTCTACGGTTTAGGGTTTAGGGTAATTAATGATTAGGGTTTACTTGATAGCTGGGTAGCCGAGTAGGTACACTCTACACATTTTGTGATCGTATTCTTCCTTATAAACCTGAAAGTTTGCATTTTTGTGGGCTTATGAACTCAGCAACTAAGTTTAGGGTTTGTGGTCTAGGGGTTTTAGTGGTTCCTGACTGTTTTTTGGAGCTTGCTGTTTTTTGGTATAGGCTGGATGGGGTTTGGGGGGGTTCCAGGTAAATCCTAAGGGGAGCCCTCCATATCCCTTGAACGGAACCCTCGAAATCCCTGTAAGGAGCCCTCAAAGGAACCCTTCATGGGACCCTTTACGCAAACCTTCAAGGAACCCTCAAAGGAACCCTAAACCCTAAATCCTGAGAATGTAAGGTTTAGGGTTTAGGGGTGTATGGGTTTTGGGGTTTAGGGGTTTGAGGAACCTCTTAAAGAGCCTTTTTTTCTAATCATGAAGCTCCAGTATAAGTCAAAATACTTATAAGTTCCAAACTAACCCTAAAGATCCCCCTGAAGGAGCCCTCTAAGGAACTCTACTATTCTAGCCGAACTCCAACCCCAAAGCCCCTATCTAACCCTAAACCCGAAACCTCTAAGGAACCCTCATACGAACCCTAAACCTAAAACCTTTATGGAGCCCCTGAAGCAGAACCCTGTTCGAATCATGAAGCCTTATAAACCCTAAACCCATGAAGCACTAAACCCTAAACCCTAAACCCTAAGCCCTAGACGCTAAACACCCTACACCCTAAACCCTAAACCCATGAAGCCCTAAAGCCTAAACCCCAAACAACGAGACTCCGATCGGCCAGGATGCCAAGGTGGATCAGGTCACCAAGCAGGGCAAGCACCGGGGCTGCTTTACGGGCTCCTTTAAAGGCTCTTTTTATGGTTTATAGTCTCCTTTAAAGGCGGCTTTTATGGTTTAGGGTCTCCTTTAAGGGCTCCTTTTTCTGGTGTAGGGTTTAGGGGTTTAGGGTTTAGGGCTTGAGTCCCGGGGCTGCTTGTACCTTTTCGGGGCTGCTTTCAGGGTTGCTTGGGTTTAGCGCGCGGAGGCTGTTTGGGAGTAGGCTTGGCATTTTTTGAAGTTGTTGAATTTCCGGTCCCGGTTTTGCTTTTGTGGGTTACCGGCGGTTTCCGTTCGGGTGTGGGCATCAGGTCCGGGCTTTGTGGCTTCAGGGTTTTTTTTTGCTTTTCTTGGTGTGGGCCTCAAGGGTCTTCGGGAGTGCGGGGCAGAGGGCTGGTGTTTAAGGGGAGTAATTTGCCCAAAACCACAAGCCCTATACATCCTAAGCCCGAAATCTAGGGTTTTGGGATCCGGGGTTTTGGGATTTTGGGGGGTATAGGGCTTACAGCTGAGGATGTTGGGGATTCGGTCTTGAGATACAGCAGTGTGTGTTTCAGTAGCAGTAGTACTGTTTGGTAAGGGTTTAGGGTTGAATTGGTTTCCCTCGCCTCTAACTCCGAACCCTAGACCACCTAGTGATGTCGGGGTTTGCCACCTAAGGCTCGTTTTTGTAATTATTTGCCTATGACTTCCATAAATGTTTCCAGATTTTCAGAGTTTATACAGTTTGTAAGCCTCGAAGCTGGGTTCTACAGTAAACTATGATTATGGTGACTTCAATGAACATCCTGAACCCTGAACCCTTGTACGGGGAACCCTTAAAGGAACCCTAAACCCTAAGCCCTAAGCCCTAAAACCTTAACTTATGACCATCTTCTGGTAACAAACCCTAAACCCTAAACCCTAAACCCTAAACCCAACGGCCCCTTCCTGGGTTTATCGGGCTGGGGGTGTAGCCTGGGGGCTTTGCTCTCGGAGAAGCCTGAGTTTAGGGTTTAGGGGTTTAAAGTTTAGGGGCTTAGGGTTTAGGGTTTGGGTTTCTTTTTAATGTTTGGGTTTAGGGTTTAGGGGTTTAAAGTTTAGGGGTTTGGGGTTTAGGGGTTTCGGGGTTGGAGGTCGGAGCAGCTAGAAGAAGTATCCTCTCATAGTCCCTACATATCTGGGCAGTACCATGTCCACTGAAACCCTAGTCTACGTAGTCCGTCAGGCCCTTACCCTAAACCCTAAACCCTAACTAAACCCTAAACCGCTTACACCTAGCAATCTTACTCGAGGTTCGTGGATGCATGTGCGCAGGGTCGATCAGTGGAGGGTCCACAGCTTCTCTTCGGCCCTAAAAATACGACTCGAGCGCAGTTTTCAAAAATAAAAGCATGCGCCCAACAAACGCTTGGATCGTGGATCTCACAGTGTGGCGTAGTGCCACAGAACCTTTGCCGTTTCCAATTCCTGTCAAGCTTTCCGACGACCTACACCCTAAACCCAAAACCCTAGACCCTAAACCCTAAACAACTAAGAGACGCATAAAACCTAACCCTGAAACCTGAACGCCAAAAGCCCATGTCAGAGTCCATAAGGACGGCCCTCCTCCTGGCCGCGCAGTTCGGCCGTCAGGAGCCGGGTCATAGGCTGACGGGTTGATCTTGCGTGCGAGTTTGGATTGAGTTGTTTTCGTCCACTTCCGCCGATAGTTAGGCTTCTTGCGGGGAACCTGATCCATAAACCCTAAACCCTCCCTAAACCCTATAACCGCAAAAAAAATGATGGGCTTCAACGACTGAACATGCCCGGGTCTAGAGGGCCCGAAACCCTTATTTCACCCCTAAATTCGTCGAGTGCAGAGGATGGAGTCCCCCATGCTTTCAATTTTTAAGACCCAAACCTCGGGTTTAGGGTTTAGGGTGTCCATCCCCCCTTTACCGCCAGCGAGTTTTGGCTCTTTTGGGGCAAATTTTCCCCCCTCCCCTGCTCTACTGTACTCACAGTCTCGCTGCAGAGGATCTGTCTACGTCCTGCATCCCGAACCGTAAACCCGAAGCCCTGAAGGTTTGCGGCCGATAGTCAAAAGGTCCTTCCGGTGTTTGTGGGGTTTAGGGTTTTGGCTTGGGGATTAGGGTTTGGGGTTCAGTGTTTGGGGTTTGGGGATTAAGGCAATGACCTCAACCCTAAACCCTAAACCCTAATGACCCTCTTCAAGAATCTGCACGTCCAAAAGACTCTGCTACACGAAGCCCAAACCCCTCCAACCGGAGAGCCCTACACTCTGCTGCTGAGCTTCGCTATCTGATGTAGGGCCTAAATCATTGCCCATCTTGTCCCTTAAAGTACCCTAAACCCCAAACCCTAAATAATTACCCGTATTGTCGCTTAGGGTACCCAAAACCCTCAAGAATTATAGACCATCAATTACCCATATTGTCACTTAGGGTTCCTGATTATATTTATAGCACAACATACCCCAAAACCCCAATCTAATTATTGCTGCCCCGGTACCAGGGGCTCCAGGACCCGTCTTGTTTGCTTCAAAGGGGAACCCTAAACCCTAAACCCCTAAATCTCAAAGCCTTTACGCCCTAAACCTCAAACCCCAAACCTCAAGCCCTAAACCCCAAAGCCTTAAGCCCCACACCCGAAACACCTAAACCCTAAACACCTAAACCCTAAACCGTCAGAGCCCTCAATCTAAACTCTAAACCCTAAACCCTAAAACCGCAGAACCTAGACCCTCCATCTACCCTCTACTAGACTCTCAATGCCCCCTAATTTGGGACCATATACCCCTCAACCCTAAACCCTAAACCCTCAACCCTAAACCCGATGGCCTAAACCCTAAACCCCCTATTTCTGAGGGTCCCTGGAAGAGCCTTTTCAGGAGATCTGCAAGTTTCTGATCAGCAAGGGAGCCAAGGTCGGGATAGCCCCCCCTCCCCAACAACAAAAGGTTGAGGGTTTAGGGTTTAGGGGTTTAGGGTTTAGGGGTTTAGGGTTTATGGGTTTAGGGTTTAGGGTTTATGGGTTTAGGGTTTAGGGTTTAGGGTTTAGGGCCCCAAAAAAAAGTATGTTCAGACATTTAAGGCTTCGGGAGTGGCGAGAGACATGTTTGAGCGATTTAGGTAGAGGGTTTAGGATTTTTGGGTTTAGGGTTTAGGGTTTAGGGACGATTTAGGTGGAGGATTTTTGGGTTTAGGGTTTAGGGTTTAGGGACGATTTAGGCAGAGGGTTTAGGGTTTTGGGGCTTGGGGGGCTGGTTCATTCAGGATATGGGGTTAGCCTGCTTCGGGGTTAAGACTTCAGCGGTTCTCGTTCTAGCGTTGCTCCCGGGTTTTTCGGGCTTTTGCTTGGCTTGAGTCTTGAACTTGTAGGTTCAAGATCTTGAACATGTAGGGCTTTGAGATGTCTGAATTGTCTGAGCAGAGTGGGGATTAGGTCTGCGCCCGGGATTACGTCTACATGTCAGCTTCTCTTGCTTTAACATCTGCACATCCATGAATGAAAAACCGTCAAGATTTGCGTTTGGGGTCTCCTGCGCCGAATGCATGCATCGTGTGTTGCGGTGCGCGTATGCTGATGCCTGCATGGGATCAAGCTCCTGCCCCTGCGAACGTCCGGACTCCAGTTACTGACAGAAAACACCCAAGGCCTAAAGCTCTCTTGGAAAACCTCAAAAGAACCCTGTAAGAACTCTATAAAGCCCTGGTGAAGCCTTCCCGAACTCTTCAAAACACCTCATAAACAACACACAAGACTCTATATCGAAGCAGTCACCTCAAACTTTCATACACCCCTTGTATTACCGTATATAACGCTTACATCCAACTAAGTGCAAACCCCAAAACCCTGAACCCTAAAGCCTGAACCCCCAATGAATCGAAACCCTGTTCCACGGAGGTGGAGCATCAGGACGAGGATGGCCAGACGGCCTTGTTCTGCGCTGTGCAGGCCACCCCTTTTTTTTGTTTGTGTGTGTGTGTGTTGTGGGACATATTAAGTTTGTAACTATTTTGGGATGATGAGTTCCTGATTGGGTCACCTTACGTCTATCCTTACTTATAGCCTGCTCTCCCCGTGGATCATTCCAGCTGTGGGTGCCGGGGATGGCAGTGCTGTCCGTCGCAGGGTTCAGGGTTTGGCTGAGGGCTTGGGGTGCTTCAGGCTGTGTTTGTTTGGTCCACGTCCTGGCTTTCCGTCTAGTTGTTTTTTGTTTTTTCTGTTCTACCTTTCGGGGTGGATACCCATCAAACATGCCATGGCAGTTGTACGGATTTCATTTCGGAGCCTGAATCCCCAGACGATGAAAGCTCGAATCAACACCAGCATTTTTCCTGAGGATTCTGTGAATATACGTGTAGTCGAATCCAATAATCACCCAAAATCCTATTCCAATCGTTCGTGCTCCTATATTATCTTGGAGGCCCGCCCTGAGCCTCAACCGCAAAGACCCCAAGCCCGACATTCCTTATAGAACCCCTATCAGAACCCCCAAAGGGATACCCGTACAAAAACCCTAAATGTTGGATACCTTCCGAACTGGAGGCCGGCAACCATGAGCTTGTTACGAGCCTGATCGAACTGAAATGCCCCATCGACGCTGGGCTTTGTAGTTTAGGGGTTAGTGATTTAAGGTTTAGGGTTAGGGGTTTAGGGGTTTTGGGGTTTCGGGTTTATGGTTTAGGGGGTAGTGATTTAAGGTTTAGGGGCAAGGACTTTCTAGGGTTCTCCTCAAGCCCTTCGGTGAACCAGCTGCTTGCGATCAGCAAGAGGTTCGGGTTTTTGTCTTTGTCGCAGTGCCGCTGGGCAGAGTTGGGATGAGGCATCCAGAGCCCGTGAATAATCACGGAATCACCCTGCCCCCACACCAAGAAACGAGAGTAGTAAACCCTAAACCCGAA